TAACGTTAACTTAATTACGTACGTACGTACGTACGTCTACTACTACCTACGTAAGTAAGTTTATTTAGTTAGTTAGTTAGTTATTAGTTCGTTGTGTGTGTGTGTGTGTGTGTGTGTGTGTGTGTGTGTGTGTGTGTGTGTGTGTGTGTGTGTGTGTGTGTTATTCATTTATGTTTTGTTAAATATTTCAAATAGATAAAAATACAGGAAAGTACTAACAACAACCATACCAAAAACTAGGGTTAACTTTTAAGACTGAGTTTTCAACAGCAAAAAAAGCACAAGACCCACACATAAGTACTTTGTTTTCTCATGTATGTCTTTAATTTATAGTTATAATAAAATCAAATTAAAAATTTATCCATGAGGAATACATATAAGCTGTTCATGTACAATGTAATTAAGTACTTTGTCTTCCCTAACATGCACTGTGCTTTGGCTAAGTGATTTATTGCATTGTTAAGATAGTTATATAAAGTTATATATAACAGTAAAATTAAATCAAAGCATTTGTGAAAAGGTTAGATAACTGAAGGTTTTAAGATAAGTAGTAACTTAACTGTCTGTTACAATACACGGTCATCTTAGAAAGAAACAAATGGTAATTTAAATTTTTTTTGTATTTTTACATGGTAGTTACAAGGTCAGTTAAATGGACAGAGCCTGTATATAGGTTATGACAGAGAAAATAACATAAAATATGAAATTTTACTGAGACAGCTTCTGATATTTATTTAGGAATTCTAGAAGTTATGTAAACAAAATATGAAAACTATGGTGAAAAAAAAAATTAGTCTTAACATGAAAATAACCTGACACTCAGAATGCCTCAGTAAAGGTTTTGTAAATTCACAGAGATATCTTTAGTTCAAATATTTAACTAAGAACCTGATTTTCTGTGTAGAACAGACTTTTACAGTTAAGTAAAAAGTAACCTTGTATAAAGTTAGGGTAGAGAAAATAACAGATAAAATATAAAGTTTTACTGGAAAAAAAAGGTGGAATATATTTAGGAGATTTTAGAGATTATACTAATAAAATTTGAGATTTTTTGAGATGAAGAAAAGTATTTTTAATTTTAATATGAAAATCGCTTAGCATTCAGACTAGCATACAGTAATATATCTAAATTCACAGACAAATCTTTATTAAAATTAAGTATAAAAAAAATCTGATTTTTTGCTTACAAAAGGCTTGTAATGTTTATTAAATGTCTACCAAATTTTGTTACACTTACTATATTAAAAGTTATAGTATGAAAACTAAAAAAGCACAAAATGGTTACGAGGTTGGTCTCTGGGACTGTTGTGATATAATGGATTGAAAAAATGCAAAGGAGTTTGAAGTGCATACTATCATTAAAAGATAGTAGCCTAATCTTTTGTTTTTCAAATACACAAAATACAAGACAAATATACTTTAAATGACATCCAAAAAAAATTTTTTTCTCAAAAAATAAATAAATAATCCATATAAAAAGCCTACTATGAAATAGCTTTCAAACACTAAAACAAATCTGAAAGACAGATTTTGTTGTTTTGTTAAAAATAAAGATAATGTGCATTTGAAAGAAACTTTTGATTAATATATAATATAAAACCTTACGTTTGCCTGGAGGAATGGCTAAAAGAGAGTCTGTGTGAGGTGTAGGGCAATTTACTCCTTTTGTAGTCCGAGTAGCATTGGTGACTAAGGTCTTTCTGTCTGCTGTGAAGGCACAAAGAAACTGACCTTCCAAGACAGGCAGATTATCAATTTCCAAAGTCAGCTGCAGGGGAGATAGCCTTTTGTTATTTGCAAAAATAATGGAATTCAACATCTGTTTCACTCTACTTCTGAACAATTTCAAATACACTCACTTTATTTCAAACTTTTTTAACAAATAAGAAATTACATAAACATCAATGAACAGAAAAAACATTCTAAAACTTCTTTCGGTCTGAAAGTGGAGTCAACTGTATATCTGTGTTCCAAAAATAGATAATTTTATTTTTATTTTCAAAATATTTCATCAATAAAAAGAATTAATAATAGTGATAAATATTAAAAAAGATAAACAAATGAGATGCAATTTTGGTTTACGTTTTTTTATGTTTACGTCCAGCATAAATTCCAAAAGTAATGACCAATGTATTAGTGGTGATGATTAGTATCTTGCATACATTTAGCTTACAGCTTTCTCTGCTGTAACATATTGTATTAAAATTCAGAGATAAAAGGGTGGAACCAATAAGATGTATGTTTCAGTGAATAATTATGATTTTAAAAGAAAAAAGATGAATGAACGAAGAAGCTACAGTTACAGTGTGAAATCTAAATTTGACAACGCTTTCTTAAGTTTATTGATACTTTCATCAGAAAGGCCCCCCCCTCATTATCATTGAAACACATTTTAACAGATCTTTCATTACTATAGTTTTTTTGACTATATAAATAATGTACAGATTTAAAAAATTTATGTTAAATACAAAATTGTCAATCTAAATTTTAAATTATAGTTGGCTGGTTATAGAAGCTCAATATCCTATATGCTAACATTGTTTTTCTATATTTACCTATTCTCTAGATGCTTCCTAGGGCTACTGAAACTTTTCCATACTTTTTCATTTTCCATACAGATTGGCATTCATGTTTACAACTCAGATAAATTGAAAACTTTCGTAATACTAAAATGAAAATTCCTTTGCTAATTGCCTTTTAAATTCAGCTTATGGAGGAATAATCTCATACAAGTATAGCTCAGAACAAAAGAAATTATTTAAGTTAAAGCAAATGTTCACTAAAATCAAATAAATAGCTTGTTAACAACAAAAAACAATGTATTCTCTTGGCTTTCCCAAAGCTATGTCTGATTGCATAAATAGCTAGAAAGAGAATATATATGGCTTACTTAGGAAAACATGAAAATATAATAAATCCAGACTATGTTTAATGAAACAAAATACTAAAAAATGAAGTTAGCATGCATACAAATCTAATATTGTAAAATTTATAGTTTGAGTAATTAACTCTTGATTTATCAGACAATTGCAGTGACTTGGATAATTAAATAAAAATATTTTACTAGTAGTTAATGTGCTTAAAAAGTTTTTATTATACATTTAATATTTAATTTTCAGTTAAAGATTTCAATCAACAGAACTTTTATGAAATTTACCCACTATTTACTGTTAGTAGTGTCAAGTGAATGTGTGATTCACGTAATGCCTATGTGGTTTTGAGTCAATTTGAAATTTTTAATATATAAACATCCTAATTTATGAGCAAAATAATAATGGAAATATTTAAGTACATACAAGTTACATCTAATTTGGTTATAATGGTTTCATAATGCATTTCCAAAAACTAAAATCTCAAAAGAAGTCAGCAAGAGAAGTTACAACTACAAAACAAGCATAGAATCATGATAACTTTAGTGATTAATTTTGATTATTCATTTTGTAAAGCAAAGCTAACAGAAGGAAAAAACAAACAAACTTTATTTACATAATTACTTTCTTCAAAAAACGATGCAATTATAATGGACAATAGCGTTTTAAAGGCTATACACATTTATTTGCAAAAGACAGCCAAGAAAATAAATAATAATAACAAGCCTTTAATGTTTACTCAACTCATTTTGTAATAGATATTACCAACACACAAAATCTGCATGTATACATACAATACGAGCTGTTGTTTTCTGTATTTGGGGTGGTTCTACCCTAGTGATGGTGGTACACTTGCCACTCTTATAAGACAACCAGTAAAGTGGATCCTCAGCTGCTTGAGCACATTCACCTCTTAGACTACACCTGAAAGTGACAAATAAAATACAGATTCACAAGTCTATATCATAATTCAAGTTTAGAATGACATAACGTAATCACTGGACTTTTGAAACTTCCATTAAAACAAAATAAAGTTATTGGCTTCATTTCACTGAAGTGTCCAAGTAATGATTAAAACTAGAAATTCATATCCACATCAAAAATCACTCTTGAAAATAAATAGTACTGGTTTAAATTACATACTTTGAAATCCCCATCTTCCTTTGACAATATTAGTTAAGTTCAGAATGTTCATATTAATAAAACATTAAAAACAAATGGTATTTATGGTCATAAAAATTATAAAGTGATGGTAGTCAAGGTAATAATTTTTCTTTTTTGTGCAAGAAGCTTTAAAAAGTGATAATGTATAATTTGATAAACTGAAATCTAGCACAGCTAGGAAGTGGGCTGCCTTTTCACGATAAGTATATATGTTAAAAATTAATCGACACCAGGACCTCTGTAAACATTTACACTCACAGAAATATCAGTCTACATCACTTATTATAAAAAGATATGTTATAACAAGACTAGTAAAGATTTATATTGACAAAAGTTAACATTTTCCAACGCTGAAAATGTATTTCTGATAGACTGTAATGAGGTACTTTCCAGAGCAAACAAGTTAAATGTTTTGGACACCACTTGTCCCCTACAGTGACATTTTGGATACCATAAGTTGCGTGTGTGTTATTACTATTTACTCAAAAATTCTTAAGTTTCAGTTATTCTTCTTAAAACAGAACACTAAATAAAAATTATATATAAAACAAGGATCTCTGGTACTTAAAATGTTACAAAAGTTTTTGCATACATACATTGTACTTGCTAACCTGTTGAATCTCGCACATGGAGAGGGTAGTAGACAAATTAATTTTTGTAGATTTTAAATACATATTTTGAAAAAACAAAAAATAAATATAAATTACTAGACTGATACCACAAAAAACCTCTTTAATTTACCTGGGTTTCTAACTCAACTATATGTGGGTCTAAAAATTTCATTTCTGTTTAGATTATCGCCTTGATCATCTCACTTCAAACTATAGAATGGTACAAGGTTCTTCCCCACAACAATAATTTAGAAAGAATGACAGAATTACATAGTTCCAAGTTAGTGCTTTAGCTTGGTTATAAACATGTATGTCCACTAAATGCATATGGCTTTTAAATCTCAACTCTCAATATATAAAGTAGGTGAGGCATCTGTCAGGAGTTAGCAAAATTTATTTCTTGTGGCAGGGAACAATTGACACTAAGGAATTTGAAAAAAGAATGTGCAAGCAGAACAATTAACCTAGCTTACATCTAGACATAGAAGTATACTTTACATGTAGGACTATTCAACTTATACAGACCAAAAGTTAAGATCTGTGCAGGTTCGTGCATCATGTAATAACAAAAGTGGAGATTAAGATTTTTTTTATGGGTTTCTTTTGAAATAAAGGAATTAAAATTTAATAACATAAAACTCTGAATTACAACATACCTTATAATGCCCATTTCAATGACATACACCAATAGCAAAGTTGTGTAATTAAATGTTGATTGTAACTCAGTAAAACCTTGTGACATATTCAGAAAAGAATGCCTGCAACCTTAGGGTTAATGCAAAAAGCAGAATCACACCAAATATCTAACATTAAAGTATACAAAAAATTCTTTATAGTTGGAAATACAAAGCACTGAGACTATATGTTAAAGTGAATCTACAACCATTTATTATTTACTCAATTATTGTGTACAATAATTTTATACAACTCACAAATCTATAAATATAAAATAATTGTCTTGTCTTTTCAATGTAACAGCATACCCAAAACATGGTAAAACTTTCATATCAATGTGTTCTAGAATATTATCGTTGTATATGGAGGTGTGTTTATATGTATAAACTTATTTTATTTGAAACATCTTTTTTTTATAAACTTTATGTTTTGTTCTTTTTGTTGCAGGTTTTTGTTGCCCATACATAATAATCATGTCATTAAGCTTACATGAGTGTGTTGAAATTTTCCTGTTGTGTAGACGTCTAGGATGGACACAGAAATAGCTGCAGAGTTCAACAACAAACATCAGGAAATAAATCGAATATCTCAATCATGCTATATTGTTTACAAACATGTTTTGAACTTGGCAGTGGCCATTTTGAACAGATATTGTCTTTAAATAAAATATGTTTACATTAATTCCAGACTTTATGAACACCCAGTATAATGTTACAATTACAAACACTTCCCATCATATACAAATATGTAAATGTGTAATAAATGCATTTTCTTTGACAATGTTCTAAACAGAAGTTGTATTTTTAAATTTTGTCCAAAGCTACACAAGGGCTATCTGCACTAGCTACCCTTAATTTAGCAGTGATAGACCGGAGGGAAGGCAGCTAGTCAACACAACCCACTGCTAACTATTGGTCTACTCTTTAACCAACAAACAGTGGGATCAACAATTACATCATAATACCCCCAAGGCAGAAAGGTCCAGTATGTTTGGTAATGGGGATTCAAACCTACAGATTGCAAGTTGAGTGCCCTAAGCACCAGGCAATGCCAAGTAAAAACAGAAGTTAAGAATGAAATTTTTAAATGCTGATGTCAATGTTTACTTTCATAAAGAAACAAAAGAAAAAAAACTTTATAGAACTTCCAACTTTTTGCACTTACATAGAGAAAATAAAGCAACTTGTGCTATTACAATAACAGGAAAGAGATTATTATACTAGCTACGTCATGTAACATAAAAACCAACACAATGTCAAACTTACTTGTTTTCTAGAGAACACCAACCACAATATGGATCTTGAGCTCCAAGACACTCATCACAAGTTTTGTATAAACGACACTCCTGAACAGTAACCATGGTAACCTGAAATAAAATGCATCACCTGATGTACAAACATTATATCAAAAATATTTCCAATTCCAGTATCTAGCATTAACTTACAATTTGCTTACAGAAAAGAAAAAAAAAACTACAATGGAAGTTTGTGGATTATAATAATAATAATAATAATAATAAAAGAACACAATATTGTGTACAGCAATTAGTGAAAAAAACCTAGTAAACAGAAAAAACTGTCAGAAGTCTGATATCAGAGAAACTAGTTTCGACACATTCATGCATCCTCCTTAGTCTCACGAAAAAACTGGTCAACAAATGTCTACGTGACCCCTGATCTTGGAATTCCCTTAAAGATACAGGAGGTCAGGAAGTAGTTTAAAATGACCTTGGGAAGTGTTGAAATTAGACAGGCTTTTGATTAAGCAACTTTCAACGATTCTTCTTTTTATGCAGTTATCCATTTTGTATAAAATTCTTGTTGATTTCCAATCAATTTGATGGCCAGAATTTCTCATGTGAATAAAATTAGCATTGTTTTGGTTTCTATATTTTATGTCTTTTTTATGTTCAGAAACGTAACAATTAACAGCTTTTCCACCAATTTCACCTGCATCACCTTTCTCACAGGATTATGTCAATTAAAAACTAGCTGGAATTAGTCAACTCTCTGACGAAAAATTTCTCAATTATTCATAAATAATGAAAAGACAAAGCTTTCCTTTTACTTTGGAAGTAATATTTCTATTTACGAGTTTAAGTTAAGATTAACCCAAAATTATTTTTTAACCAAGCTATTGCATTTAATATCCATGCTCCTGTCTTTCCTGGATTTCTGCTTCCACTGAACATTGACAAAACAGTTTAAAAGTAGCCAAGATTTTAATAACAGCTAACATTTAAACTTTTCACTTGATATTTTATAAAACATACAAATATTCTTTATACTTTTACACTTTAACTTGTGTCTACTAAGTTATTGTTTTTTTTTAACAAGTATTTAAAAATCCTAATTACAAATTCATTTCCTGATATTTTGTAGGCTTTTTTCAAATAATATTGTGGTTAGCATTTATCACTATCTCACTTGTACTTTTATATATATAAAACTGACAATTAAAGTGCAATTTTTTTCATTTATTAGTATTCAAATTACAGATAACCAGTCAACAGCATCCACATGAGTTTTCCTCCCTAAAACACTAACACACAGATATATATAAACTTTAGGGGAAAAAATTCATTTGCCAACTTTAGTGCAATACATTACACTATTACTCATTTTAAATTTTGATTTAGGCTAGTCTTTAATAATATTAATTACTAAACCTTTACTACTGTGCTCCAAAGATGAAATCTGTGTTTCTACATCTATCTTCTCAATTAATTTTTGTTAAATATATATGTACACTGTTCTTCATTGTGCATAAAACTCCATACATACAGGTTTCTTACAATGCCTTAATGATTAATGAGATTAAGTTACAAGTAAACGATATTTGAAAACTAACAATTTGGAGATATTACAATGTTAAAATTACTTATATTGCTTCCTTTCCCAAATAATGTTTAACAATAGCAGCAAGATTAGTTCTGGAATCTTTGTGTCCCCTCTCCTGTGAAACTTTCATATAGAAGGTAAATCTGATGTACAGTGTACCCTTACTCCTGTGCGAGTCAATAGATATTTTTATTGCGAAGGTCCGTTTTTACCCTTTCCACACAATACTTTGTATGTCAACTTTATTTGTTTAAGCTTTTGTTTCAGGCCTTATTGTCATCATATGGAAGATTAAGAGAAAGTCACTATACATGTAAAGAAAAAAATTGACTATCCACAAAAATCAACCTCAGGTGAACTAACATATTGTTGATATTACAAGTTAATGAGGAACTAATAAAAGTCTACAAGATTTCATAATGTTAGGTTATTTGCCCACACGTGTGAATGAAACTTAAACAAGCAGTAAAATGTTTACTGAACTCAGACCACACAAATTACATGCAGCTTATTTGCAGATAATAACAACTAAAGTTCCTGTTAATAAATTTAAGTCACCTTCACAAATCCTAGCTAAAGTTCTTAGAGAAATGTTTACTTCTCAGCCATGTATTTGAAGATAGGTATTAGCAAGGCATGTTTTTTAAAGGATCACTACAAACCTATCAAAGTTAATCTAATTAATATAACACTGTTAGATAACCACTAAGCTCCAGATATTAGTTTTTCACCACATCAAAACTTTTCTAAATCTTTATCACACTCCTAACAAATTTCACTTATTTCATTCTCAAAAGGAAGGAAGGACATGTTTTTGTTCCATTGACCAAAACTGACCCGTTTCTCTGTCATGATGTATATATGATTTCTGCTTGGATCAAATAGCATATCTGGATTGACTGGGGAGCCTTCATCAATAGGCATGTCACTGTATTCAAAAGCACGTACTACAGAATCCACAGTAGCCTAGCAAAAAGAAAATTAAAACTGATAAAAGTATTCATCATGAAACATTTTACTGCAAAAAAAAAAGTAAATATTTGAAAATTATTGAAACCACATTAAGAATTTTAGTCTCAAAAACATAATCACATACTAGTGATTCACTTCCTAATAATAAGTTCCTGCATTTCACTTTTTTTTATAGCAATTTACCTCAAATTAACATTAACTTCCTATCATAGCAAGCTACCTACTTAAATAAGAAATGACTCAATGAGTATAACTAATTAAATATACTGTTCTTACTTATAAAGATTAGAATGCTTTGTTTCATCAGTTGGGCACCTTCACTATTAACAATAAATTCTGCTGTAAATCCAATAACATCTTACAAGGTTCAGCCAGCTGAGAAGATTTAGATTAGTCCTAATTCCAAGTACTAAGCTAATAATGCAAAACAATCTCTATAATAATACATTCAAGATAATAAAACCAACTACATTAAACATTCTAAGCAATACTGTTAATGAAGGTAAAATAATAGAAAGAATAGAGATTAACTTACTGAACAAACAGTAACTGTTAACTTCAAGTACTGTAATAGATTTGAGGTTCATTGAAAAACTTAACATCAGTAAAACTTAAATGTTGTAGTTCATTTAGATTAACAGAAATTTTTTTGCATGCCTCAAACAGGTGCTTACAATATTTAAATTTAAGAAATATGGATTTTGAACTAAATTTTGTTTGTTAAAACATATATAACCACATGAGGAGAAAAAAAAATAGTTACTTGTATTTCACTCAAACTACAAACCTTTTAAACTGATTAATTATAAGCACATTAGAAAGAAAAAGGTCACAACACATATTCTCCGAGCTCAGAGGCTAGTGAAGTTCCACGTGCAGTGTTGAAGCATACATAAAAAAACAACAACGCTGCAGTATGTTTGGTATGCTTATCTATAACATTTCTAAGGACATACTAGCAATTTTAATACAAATGTAGTGAAAGAAACTGCTGCCATTTCTTCAAGCTACTCAGTCTAGTTTAATAGCCTCAAATCACAGCAACACGCATTTAGCTGTCTTAGGTGAACAGAGAAAGTATGTAACAAATGAATACATTTCAATTCCCCGGCATTGGAAGTTGTGAATCAAATCCACCACATTACAAATGATGAAACTTTGGACCTTGTGAATATAGAGTTGTCGCATTAAGATACTGAACTGATTACTTGGAAATAATACACACACAAGTAAGCTATAAGCACTTACAAAAGAAGTTACTTAAGTGAAAAAACTCTTGAAAGCATTTCATTTACTGAAACATATTGTAACTAATTACAACATAGATAATAATGTTTACATAGTAAGTTTTTATACAGAGCTTAATTTAGGACTAAAGGAAATTATCTTGGAAATAAAACTTGGTTAAATTAATCTCCTCAGCATCACAAGAAAAACCATTACTTGGCAAAAATGGTTTTGTGTGTACTGGAATTTTGCTTTTGTATACATACACAAAAAACTGTTACATGAATTGTAACACAGAGCATTCACTTTTGCAAATTTCAAAATATATCAATAGTAAACGTGCATTTTGTCATTCTAGGTTGTAGTAAAAACATACAAAGTTAGATACCTCCATGTTTAACACAGGACCTTGAATATTTTACTGAACATTAAGAAAAACTAATGCACTATAACATTTAAAAACTACAAATATGTGTGTGTGCCTTCCCGAAATTATTCAACAAATAAGGCTTTCCACTACAAAACACAAGAAACATGACCTAATACTTTGCTGTTGGAGAGCATTGTATAATTATTAATGTTGAAGAAAGAGAAAAAAGGTGTCAATTGAAATACTGCAAAACCTTTTTCCAGTATCTTTCTTTTACCTTCACACATACACATTATATACACATATATATAGTATTACAAACAAATTACATCCCTGAGTATAATAAATCCTCAACACAAGTATTTGAATTTAACAATGAATTTTAGATTTACCTTTTTCAAGTGACCAGAAGATGTCCCTAGAAATGCCACGGTATAGTCATGTGTGGAAGTAGCTGCTACAGATGTCAATAATGTCCCAGAATAAGTCAAAACCGGAGCAGATTCAACTGGCATAGTACCTCCAAGTGGCGTGTTAACATTTGTTCCACAAAAGTCATCATTGATTTGAACTTGCTAAAATCCAGATAAAAGTTTGTTTAACAATTTAGCAAACTGTTTTATATTTCTTTTAATTATATTGAAAAAAATGAAAAAGAAAACTGTCATTCATGTAACAAAAAACACAGTTGTCACATTTTTAATATTAAATATTGATTATTTTGAGAAATACAATTTGTATAAAGAAATAACCATGAGAAGAAATATTCTGTAATTTTACACTACTTAATAGGTTTTTCTCTAATGCCATACTTAAGTAATTGAAAAATTTACTATGTAAACAAGAAGGCATCTTTTAAAATAAGATAAACTATAAAGAAAACCAATTTTAAAAATGTCACACACACACAATACTACGCAGAACTACAAAAAAAGTAAACTAAAGCCTGTAACCAGATGTAAATTCAAATATCTCGAGCATTTTGTCACTTCAATTTCAAAAGAACGTCAGGCTATTCTCTTATTTAACTTTTTTTTTGAAGCATAGGGTTAAAATCATTGGATACAATCTGATAAATACTAAAATAGCGTCTATTGGTGTTGTACACTCTAAGCACTACTCTTATTCAAGCTTTCATCCAATTAAACAGTGTTAAATATTTTGGAGGTTTTAACTGTTACAAGAAACCCATTTTAATTTCAACAAAAGGCTTCATCAGAATGATCCTCATTAAAGACCTTATCAAATACTTATCTCATTACAATCACTACAATAGTAAATATGAAACATATTATGCAAAAAAGTAACTTATCATGGGGATATTTTAGTAGCTTAAACTAATAACTTGAGCTTAGTGAAAACACAAGTGATATAATAACCCTTAGACTTATTCAAGATAACAATGCAGATACAAATACATTTTTAACTATCTTTTTAGTGAAATGCATACTATAGAAAGAAACAAGTTACTTTCTTCATTTACTTTTGTAATATGAAAACCACAAAGTTTACCTTACTAAGTTGTTAAATATATCTGTCACCAAAGAAAAATTGTATGATTTAAAGCATAAATGGTCTGATGTAGTCTTTATTTACATACCTTTCATGCTTTTCAGTCGGAAAGTGGTTTAAAATATATTTTCAAACTGTAAGTTTTAATATGAAACACTAGCTCACCCTGGATAACAAAACCCATATAGTGACTAGCTGAGATCTGCAATTTTGAGCAGTATCAACTCAAATTGGTGGACAAGTAATGTAACTCAGTGAAGTTTATACATGAGAATATATAAAATGCAGTTGTTTATACCCATCTTTACTTCACTGACAGAAGAGTTCAGGTTTTGATGTTCAAAGTCAGCTAACATATTTCATCTTAAAATGAACAGTACTGCTAGATCTACTTGAAATGTAACTTTTAAACATGTTTTTCTAAAACAATAGCTGAAAACAGCTGATCCCTACCAAATATCATTACTTAAATAAAACTGCTAAAACAAATTTTAAAAAAGTTGTCATTTTATTTATATTTTTTACAATAAACTTTTCACATTATCCTACAAAAATTATATATTGAATTTAAATGTTAATGTTTCTTTTCATCATTTTCAATAATAGAAATATTTTCTTTAAATCTTTCATATAACCCTTCCAGTACTAGGTTATTTTAAGATTCACAGTATTAAAAAAAAGGAAGAGACTTGTTTTAATGTTTTATTTGTTATCTTACAAACTCTGGGGGGTCTGAAGGAGAATATCCTTTGTTCATAGTGGTATGAAACTCCAAACTTGATGGGGGTGCTCTGGAGGGGGGAACATATAAATGACAGTGAAACAGTTAAATACTGGGAACCTGAAATTTTTCTATTACAGAAAGCTTCCATCAAAGAACAGCACAAAACAAAGACAAGCATGCTCAAAACAAAAGCACTACCAGAGTTATCTATAAGTTTTGGTTACTTTAAAGATGGACTACAAAAATGATAACTAGTTTAAAAAAAATAGTTATAAAGTCAGAAATGCTTAAAAGTTTTGAACTTGTTTTCACCAAAGCAAGAAAAAGTACAGGAGAGTTGATTTATGTATCTGTCAATCTTCTTATGGATGGTCTAATTGAGTGGTAGAATGAAAAAGATGGAAACAAACTTGAATATTAAGGATAGGTTTTGACAAATATTTTTTTTACTTATTACAGACTTGTGAAAAGTTTTATCATTTGGTATGTTAGTATTATTACTTTCAAAATCTTATTGGATAGGTACATGGATGTAACTTATTATATCCAATCTAGATTTGACTCCTTTTTATAAGTTGTACTAGATAAGAGATAAACTCAAAGGGCTGGAAGAGCTTATAGCATCTTGCAATGTCACATATTATTCACATCTCTAAACATTTTGAGTCAAATACATAACACTTGTATAACAAATATCTTCTATACCGATAGTTATCAAAAAATTTCAAAGAAACTATTATGATTGTCCTGCATTACAAATTGTTTAAGTATTTAAAAGCTGTTTCTGAAGAAACAAATAATTTGTTAACCTATTCTCAACTGACAAAAGCTGATTCAACTGTTTACATGACAGTAAACATTCTGTATACAAGCATATAGATTAAAACATACTATGCAATAAAACAAATGATGCCGTTATAAGATGGTATAAAGTAAATGTAACAACAAATATGTGACACCGACAACAGTAAATATTGATGTATACAACCATGTAGATTAAAACAGCTACTGTGTAGTGCAATAAAACAAATGATTCCATTAGAAGGTGGTAAAGTAAATGTTAAATGAGCCATATATGTGTCTTAAATGACATATTACTGCCTGTACCTTGCACATTTACTGGGAACATATTAAATTGGAAGTACAGCATTAGATAGTTGTAATTTATTATGATCAACATGAATGGCGTTGGCGTTGTTAATAATGACAAAGAAATGGGATCAATTACACTATTTTAGACTAAATATAATATAAAATTAGTTGCTAAATTAAGTAATTACAGTTATTATGTGCAGTACAAATAACAATTACTACTCCAATTAAATAAGGCTATTCAACAAAAAAGACAAAAACCTTTCAGCTCAGACTTTTTGGTGTAGTTAATATAGAGTACCGGTTCTTTAGGATAACTAACCATTAACATATATATATATAATTTTTTAGGCTTAATAAAAACTAATGCCTTATCTAATATATAAGGAGGTTGTTATCCATAAAGAATATTTTTGAGACATAGTAAAATAGTATATTACATACAACTTTAACTACATTTTAGTTAATTATTGAT